CCAAGGGCCTTATTAGCTGTATTTAGAGTTATTTATGAATATCTTAAAAATTCGAGGGTTGTCCGTGGCCGAGTGGTTAAGGTCGATGACTTCAAACCACTTGCCTCTCACCGCTGTTGGTTCGAATCCTGACAGATTCTTTCATGTGAGGAAGCTATCCAGCTAGCAAACGGAACGTCGTTGGTTCTACTCAGGTTCTTGTTCATGCCTGAAATAATGTACGGAATGGCACCTAAGGTATTCCTCCTCCAGTAAAGCTGGAACGTCGCCATATGACCTATAATGTGTCGGTGTGACATAAAACCCAATTAAACAAACAAACAATCTTAAAAACTCTTCCTTTAAAAATTAAAAGACCAGGTGCTTGGAAATTTGGTATGTAAGGTCATCTAGTTGTCCTCTAAAATTAGAAAAATAACACATTTAAACAACATCTAAACCAGTGGTTCAAGTTTTGAAGGAAAAAAAATTCACCAAAAATTTCTTTGGTGACAGTGTACAAAAATTGTTTACATTAAGCTGTGCCTTGTAATCCCCCCCCCCCCCCCAAACGAAGTTTAGGGGGTATATAGGAGTCACTGTGGTCGCGGTTGGTCGGTCCAGCCATCCGTTGCAATTTCCTTGTCCGGAGCAAAACTTGAAGACAAATGGTTGGAATTCAATACAACTTCATACAGTGGTAAAGCACATTGAGAGGAAGTGCAGTGCACAAGAACCATAACTCCATCTTCACTAATTACAGAGTTATTGCCCTTTGATACTTTTCTATGTCTGTAGCTTAACTTGAAAAGTACTGGTTGGAACAATAACTCCATCTTCAGTATTTGTAGAGTGATTGCCATTTGTTCATTTTCCTTGTCCGGTGCATTACTTAAAAACTAATGTTTAGAATTCAATGCAACTTCATACAATGGTCAAGCACAATGAGAGGAAGTACAGTGCTCATGAAGCGTAACTCTTTCTGGGCTTATCACAGATTAATTCAATAAAACTTCATCAATGGTCAACCACAGTGAAAGAAAATACAACATACGAGAACCACAACTATTTTTAATTGCCCACAACCATAACTTTATTCCCATTTTTTACACGGTGTTCTGTAACTAGTATCTTCCTCATTTCAGAAGCAGTATTGCGGGGGTATTAATCATATTCAGTGATAGTTCTAGTTAATCTAAGCCATTAAATGTTTATTTTATATGAATATAAATTAAAACCTTCGTCACTGGAAACCCAAGGGCTAGATGAAACATCGTCTAAATGACCTCCTACATGGCTTTAGAAATAATCGCACTGTGGTCAACATTTGTCCTGTCCCAGTGGTCATGTGTTTTTAGCTCGACATTTTCAAAGACAAATTTCCAGCTATCGCACCAGTAAAGTTCTTCCTGTTGCCGTCCAGAAACTTTAATATTGGTCATTATTTATAAATTTAATGTCTTCAAACTTGGACACAACAAACCTTTAAGACAAGACCTTCAAGTAGACAAGACTGAACTTGACCTTGACTTAATATAACATTGCCCTTCAAGGACAAATGTCGAGTTTTTTTATACCCCCCCCCCCAACAAAGGAAGTTTTAGGGGGTATACTGGAGTCAGCTGGTGGTCGGTCGGTCTTGGTGGTCGGTCGGTCAGACTGTTGGTCTGTTGCAGATTTCTTGTCTGGGGCATAACTAAGAATATTCAAAAGATATCAACTTCAAATTGTGTAGGTGTATAGATCTCATTGAGTTAAAGTGCAGTGCAAAATAACTGTAACTCTGCCTTGCCTAATTTTGGAGTTACTGCCCTTTAGTTATTTTTACACTTTGAACTTTATCTTGGACATAACGCTAAAACGACAAGGGGTATTAACTTTGTAGGTAGATAGATCTCATTAAGTAGAAGTACAATGCAAACGACCTGTAACTGTACTTTGCCTAATTTCATTGTTATTGCCCTTTGTTTTTTACACCTTGAACTTTGTCCGGGACATAACTCTAAAACGCCTAAGTGTATTAACATGAAACTTTGTAGATAGGTAGATCATATTACGTAAAAGTACTGTACAAAAGAACTATAACTCTGCCTTGCCTAATTTTGGAGTTATTGCCTTTGTGTTTTTTACACTTTGAACTTTGTCTTTGACATAACTTTAAAACAACAAGGGGTATTAACAAGAAACTTTGTATGTAGATAGATCTCATTAAGTAAAAGTACAATGCAAAAGAACTGTAACTGTACCTTGCCTAATTTTGGAGTTATTGCCCTTTGTTTTTTACACTTTGAACTTTGTCTGAGGCATAACTTAAAAACTATAAAAAGCATTGTAGGTAGATAGAAGTGCAGTGCAAAAGAACTGTGACCTTCCCTATTTATTTTGGAGTTATTACCCTTTTTTAATTTTTACACTTTGAACTTTGTCCGAGACAAAACATAAAAAAATGTAAAGGCTATCAACTTGAAACTTTGTAGGTAGATACATCTGAATGACAAGAAGCGCAGTGCAGATGAACCGTAATCCCGCCCCCTCCCCCCCCCCTTCCCTAATTTAGGAAATATTACGCTTTGTTCATTTTTACAATTTGAATTTTGTCCTGGATATACTTTGATAAATATAAAAAGTATCAACTTGAAACTTTGTAGGTAAATAGATCTCACTGAAGAAGTGCAGTGCATAAAAACCCTAACCCTACCTTTGGAGTTATTGCCCTTGTGCATTTTTACACTTTGAACTTTTTGTCCGGGACACAATTTGATAATTATTATAGGTATCAACTGAAAACTTTTAGTTTTTTAAAGAATGATCCTTTGGTGGTCCCCTTTATAGTTGTTTAAATGGTTCTGGTCTAGCGCATAAATAGGTCGTAGATCAGAGAGAATTTTTAAAACATGCAAATTTAAAAATCTGCTTGTCTGAAAGTACAAGGCCTAGGGCTTTGATAGTGGGTATATTATATTTTAATTATCTACCAATGTTGTTGACAGTTGCAAAATTGGCCCAACCCAGGTTTTCCTGAAATGTATATACTAAAAACATTTTTAAAAATCCTCCTCTGAAATCACAAAGGCTAGCGGTTAGATATTTGGCATGAAACATTGTGTAATTGACCTCTACCATGTTTGTTAAAATTATTGCCCTGGGGTCAAAATTGGCATATGCCATGGGCTAATAGATTTTCAGTATGTACATATAGGGAAATTTTCTTATAAGCCCTATATAGAAATCAGGTTATCAAGTTATAATAGTGGTTTGGTAAACTTGAGACTGATTTTAGATTCATGTTAAAAAGACGAAAATTATTGCCAAATTTGCTGAAAAAATAACTGGAATAACTTTCCAGTTTGCAATTCATTTAAAAAGTAGAGAATTTACTCATTTGATTTGGAGCATGGTGACAAATATTTCGATGTTGGTCATGTTTAAACCACCTTTCTCAAAATTGTTTATCAGTATACTTACTTTAATCTTTTAACATTTATCGTCCCAAAGGTATGTAATTAGTTTTGAATTTTCAACTCCCAATACAGTTGTTCGCATTCTTTTTTGTGTGCCAAAATAAACGCCTAAAGCATTCACTATTTTGCTCCATTTTATGTTAGTTTATTTTAAATTGTCAGAGTTTTTATGTTTGTTTATTTTAAATTCTCAGAGTTATTTTCTAATTTAGCAAATAATTTGTTAAGGATCATTAGATGGATCATTTCTGGAAATGGAAATTTTAACACGTTTTTCCTGATTAACTGAAACAATGTATTAAAAAATAATAATGTGTCTGAAAGACACGGATGATATTTGTAAGGAGCATAAAAGTGGCAGAAAAGGTCAGTAGTGTCAAAATGAAGAATTGATTATCACAATTTCTAGGATTATAATGACACATTTTGCTTAACTCGTCTTCAAACGGAATTCAAAATCACTTTTAAATCATGACAGAGTAACCAACCGAGCAAGAATTTCTAACTGTTGACCTTTGACCGCTAAGTGTGACCTTGACCTTGGAACTAAGGACCTTGGTATTGCGGAACACATTGTCTCATGCTGCACATTTAAGCTCATTTATTCCAAAATCATTTGATGCATGACAGAGTTATGGGTCGGACAAGATTTTCTTACTTCAGACTTTAAACCTTAAAGTGTGACCTTGACTTTGACGCTAGGAGTCTAGGTCGTGTGCATGAAACTCTGTCTCTTCTCATGCTACTCATTTGAGCCAATTTATTCTAAAATCACTTGATTCATGACAGAGCTATGGGCCTTTACATGTTTAGGATGCACTTACGGACACATGCACACAGGCATGGACAGGGTAAGACTTCATTCCCCCTTCCCATAATTATTGGAGATAAAAACAAGTTTTTTCTGCTTTTGTCACATTCTAATTTGAATATTTACATAGGCAGGTCAGCATTTCAATGTTTCCCAAAGCGCTGATGCGGTCAGATTTATATAAGCTTGCCCAAATAATACGACAAATCCCTGGTAATTAATACAAAACAAGGATAATTAGTAAAAACTTAAAAAAATACTCGTTTCTGAATCCCCAAGGGCAAGCGTTTTAATATTTGGCATGAATCATTATCCAAGATTGTTGAAAAGGTCCTTCCCCAGGAAACATTCGTTTTCCTTATCTACATTAAATATAACTATTAAAAGTCTTTCTCCTCTACTTGCAAAACGGCTTCAATTAACTTTCAAAATTCTTCTCCCTCTTTTTGCAAGATGGCTTAAATTGAGACACTTTGTATAAAGTATTCTTCTAATTAACCTTCACTAAGATTGATCAAAATATTAATTTGGAGTCAAACTTGCCGATGTTCTGCAAGGTTTTTCCCTTCATGTACTTTGCCTTAAACTTTTCTAAGATTTGGTGTAGAGGTTATGGATGACCCATAAGATCAGACTGGCCTTTACAATTAAAACCGTGTCCAACTAAAGAGAATGTAACACTATTCTGTCCTCAGGTGAGCACTTTGGGACCAATGGCCTTTTTTGAAGTCATATTATTTTTTTTTCAGTGAAAGCAGCCTTCAGATGGTATTACCAGATAAAACAAAGCCAAAGCAGTCTCAGAGAATTGTGGATGCCATTGAGAATTTACCAAAAGATCTCCAGACTCTTGTGATAAACATTTCATGCCATGGCTCACGCAATGACCCCTTCACATTTTGTTTGTCAGCATCAGACACACTTTTGTTGACAAGATTAGAAGAAGAATTAGAGAAATATAAAGACTCTAATAATGACTTCATCAAAGTCATTTTGTTTTGTGACTGTTGCTATCCTCGAAAAATAAATATCAAAGGTATCAAGACAGATAAGATTATTCAAATTAACTCATCTAAAGAAACACAAAGGTCATGGACCCCTACTCAGGAGACAAGTTACTTCTCAAAGTTTCTGATACAAGGTTTGAAAGCAAATACTGAAAATGCGCCATGTGGGACAAAATACTGCACTTCTTGTAAGATGTATTGGAACGATCGGAAAGATTATGTGACCGTTGAGAACTTATTTGGTTACATACACAATCATATTAAAAAGATACAGGAGCCTCAACTTTTATTCAACGGCAGCTATGATGATTCTGTTATAGCTTACTACACAGATGAGCAGGAATGCATAGAGTTCACTGTACATGATGATTCTGATACAGAAACTCAAAGACTTCTACTTGACTTTTCTTCAGATATGTGTCAGATTGAAGCTCAGCTTCTTGAAAAGTCACAAAGTAAGTTTATTTTACATTCAGATAGGCACTTTAACAAGTTTTTAAAATGAATATCTTCCAAATTTATAGTATGTAAGTGTTGTATTTTTTCTATCAATATATATTTTTTATTTGTAACAAAAGATTAAGCATATCAAATCAGTAGAAGTAATTCATAAAACTCGTGATTCATGATTTAGTTTCCTTTTCAGAGGATAAAGATTCCTACACTGTTGCCATACAAAAAATGACTTTTAGAACGGATATAGGAATGGAGCCTTGTAAAACGTTTAAAGAAGTTGTTCTAGCTTGGGAAACCAGACAGCCCCTTCAGGTGGCCTTTAATCCAAAGAATGGAGGAAGGTGATGAAGACGTAGATATTTTATACAGTAGAACATAAATGACAAAAGATGAATATTAATTGAAATGGCCTGTATGATCACATACCAGTAGTTTTTATTAGCTCACCTGTCACAAAGTGACAGGGTGAGCTTTTGTGATCGCTTTTCGTCCGGCGTCGGTCCGTCCGTCCGTCGTCCGTCCGTCCGTCGTCCGTAAACTTTTGCTTTAAATGACATCTCCTCATAAACCACTAAGCCAATTTCATCCAAACTTCACAGGAATGTTCCTTTGGTGGTAACCTTTAAAAATTGTTCAAAGAATTTAATTCCATGCAGAACTCTGGTTGCCATGGCAACCAAAAGAAAAAACTTTAAACATCTTCTTCTAAAAAACCCAAAGAGCTAGAGCTTAGATATTTGGCATGAAACATCTTCTAGTAAGTGTCTACCAAGTTTGTTCAAAGAAAAGCCCTGGGGTCAAAATTGGCCCCGCCCCAGGGGGTCATTGATTTTCCCTATATGCATATAGTAAAAACTTAAAAAATCTTCTTCTAAAAAACCCAAAGAGCTAGAGCTTAGATATTTGGCATGAAACATGTTCTAATGGATGTCTACCAAGTTTGTTCAAATAAAAGCCCTAGGGTCAAAATTGGCCCCGCCCCAGGGGGTCATTGATTTTCCCTATATGCATATAGTAAAAACTTAAAAAATTTTCTTTTAAAGAATCCAAAGAGCTAGAGTTAAGATATTTAGCATAAAACATCTTCTTATGTGTGTCTACCAAGTTTGTTCAAATAAAAGCCCTGGGGTCAAAATTGGCCCCGCCCCAGGGGGTCATTGATTTTCCCTATATGCATATAGTAAAAACTTAAAAAAAATTCTTTTAAAGAATCCAAAGAGCTAGAGCTAAGATATTTAGCATAAAACATCTTCTTATGTGTGTCTACCAAGTTTGTTCAAATAAAAGCCCTGGGGTCAAAATTGGCCCCGCCCCAGGGGGTCATTGATTTTCCCTATATGCATATAGTAAAAACTTAAAAAAATTTCTTTTAAAGAACCCAAAGAGCTAGAGCTAAGATATTTACCATGAAACATGTTCTAATGGATGTCTACCAAGTTTGTTCAAATAAAAGCCCTGGGGTCAAAATTGGCCCCACCCCAGGGGGTCTTTGATTTTACCTATATGCATATAGTAAAAACTTAAAAAATTTTCTTTTAAAGAACCCAAAGAGCTAGAGCTAAGATATTTACCATGAAACATCTTCTTATGGGTGCCTACCATGTTTGTTCAAATAAAAGCCCTGGGGTCAAAATTTGCCCCACCCCAGGGGGTCATTGATTTTCCCAATATGCATATAGTAAAAACTTACAAAATCTTCTTTTAAAGAACCCAAAGAGCTAGAGCTATGATATTTAGCATGAAACATGTTCTAATGGATGTCTACCAAGTTTGTTCAAATAAGAGCCCTGGGGGTCAAAATTGGCCCCGCCCCGGGGGTCATTGATTTTCCTTATATATGTATAGAAAAAACTTAAAAAATCTTCTTTGAAAAAAACCAAATAGCTAGAGTTTGATACTAAGCATGAAACATCTTCTAGTGATTGTCTACAAAGTTTGTTCAAATAAAAGCCCTGGGGTTAAAATTGGCCCCAACTCGGGGGTCATTCCTTTTCCTTATATGTGTTATACAAAAACTTTAAAAAATCTTCTTTGAAAAAACTCAAATAGCTAGCGTTTAGATATTAAGCACGAAGCATCTTCTAGTGAGTGTCTACAAAGTTTGTTCAAATAAAAGCCCTGGGGTCAAAATTGGCACCGCCCCGGCTGACATTGATTTTCCTTATATGTGTATAGCAAAAAATTAAAAGTCTTCTTTGAAAAAACCTGAATAGCTAGAGTTTAGATATTAAGCATGAAACATTTTCTAGTAAGTGTCTACAAAGATTGTTCAAATAAAAGCCCTTGGGTCAAAACTGGCCCTGCCCCAGGTGTGTCATTGTTTTTAACTATATGTGTAAAGAAAAAAACTTGACCAGCTATACCTTGGATGTTAAGCATGAAATATCTTCTAATGGGTGTCTACCAAGTTAGTTCAAATAAAAGCCCTGGGGTTTAAACTGGCCCCGCTCCAAGGGCCTATATACAGGTGAGCGACTTCAGGGCCATCATGGCCCTCTTGTTGATATGAAGCATGGCATTTTCGAATTTCCACCTGTATCGATTTGAAATGTTTATTTGCTAAATATTGATTCATATAGGTCAATATTTTTATTTAAAATGTTAAAACACAATTTGTCTCTACCATTGAAATTCTTAAATGGGTTTAGCCGATTCATCAGGTTTTTATTCCAAGCTGAAAAGACGATGGAAGATGTGGTAATTGACGCCGTTTGTCCCAGCTAACATCATCCAATCTTACAATTGAAACTGTTGACTTTAGCGGCTTTCTTTATATGTACATGTAAATAGTAAACATTTCAAACCATTTTCTTTTGAACCAATAAAGGCTTTGCACTTTGTCTAGTGGACGAGTCCTTTGTTTTAAGCCCTTGTGTAAAAATTAATATGCTTCAGTAGTTATCAGCCACTGACCTAGTTTTTTCTATTTAAAAAAACACTTTTTTATATAGAAATGGTCTCCGTCCGTCCGTCCGTCCGTCCTTCCGTCCGACATTTTTGTCCGGAGCATACCTCTAAAAGTATTTGAGTTATCAACTTGAAACTTCATAGGTGGATAGACCTCATTGAGGAGGAGTGCAGTGCACAAGAATGATAACTCTACCTTGCATGATTTTTGAGTTATTGCCCTTTGTTATTTTTCAAAATTGATTTTTGTCTAGAGCATAACTCCAAAAGCCTATGAGATATTAACATGAAACTTCATAGGTGCATAGATCTCACTCAGGAGGTGTGCAGTGCACAAGAATGATAACTCTTCCTTTAATAATTTTTGAGTTATTGCCCTTTGTTATTTTTCATACCTAATTTTTCACCTGAGTGGAGCATAACTCAAAAAGTGTTCGAGATATCAACATGAAATGTCATAGGTGGATAGATCTTATTGAGGAGGAATGTTGTGCGCAAGAATGATAACTCTTCCCTATAAAATTTTTGAGTTATTGCCCTTTGTTTTTTCATGCTATTTTGTCCAGAGCTTATCTCAAAAAGTATTTGAGGTATCAACTTGAAACTTCAAAGGTGGATGGATCTCATTGAGGAGGAGTGCAGTGCTTAAGAATGATAACTCTACCCTGCATTATTTTTGAATTATTGCCCTTTGTTATTTTTCAAAATTAATTTTTGTCCAGAGCATAACTCAAAAAGCCTTTGAGATATCGAAATGAAACTTCATAGGTGCATAGATCTCACTCAGGCGGTGTGTACTGCACAAGAATGATAACTCTACCTTTTATAATTTTTGAGTAATTGCCCTTTGTTCTTTTTCATACTTAATTTTTCAATTCAATTTTTTTCTCAAAAAGTATTTGAGGTATCAACTTGAAACTTCATAGGTGGATAGATTTTACTGAGGAGGGATGCAGCACACAAGAATGATAACCTACCCTGCATTATTTTTCAGTAATTGCCCTTTGTTATTTTCAGCCATCAGTATTCACATAGGTTTCAAATCTGTAATCACTATAGCCATCAGTTTTCATTACCAAAAGACCTCTTAAAATGGAATTATTCCGCTCTACTACATATACATTCTTCCAATGAGCAAACACATTCGGCGGGGGATGGCCATGTTGACATGGCTCTTGTTATCATTCTGATTATCATGCCGAGGAGCAGGTGGTTGAACAGAGGTTACTATTCTGAAGCAATTCTTGAGGGACTTATAATATGCACTTGTTTTAACTGTGAGTCCCTTATTATTAACAGACAATCGTTATACAGCATACAGTTATGAAATTCGGACTAGATGCACTTTCATTTGTAGATTTTATTTTTGATTTGAGTTGATCTAAAACTTAACACAAGGACCTCTTTTTATACGTCCGTTTGAAAAACGGGTCGTTTTATAATTTTCCCCCAGGCGGACGGGCAGATTGGCGTGCCGTGTCCAATTTTTGGTCTGGAGCATATCTCCTTCACACATTGAGGAATGTTTTATGTAACTTCATAGAAATGTTCACCACTATGAAAAGCTGTGTAATGCACATGAAACAGGTCTCTAGGTCTATATAAAGGTCAAGGTCACATTTAGAAGTCATTATACGCCCGTTTGAAAAACGGGTCGTTTTATAATTTCCCCCTAGGCGGACGGGCAGAACGGCGTGCCTTGTCCAATTTTTGGTCTGGAGCATATCTCCTTCACACATTGAAGAACTTTTTATGTAACTTTATAGAAATGTTCACCACTATGAGATGCTGTGTAATGCACATGAAACAGGTCTCTATGTCTATTTAAAGGTCAAGGTCACATTTAGAGGTAATTAAAAAAACACTTGTCCGGAGCAAAACTACTACATGCATAGAGGGATTCCAATATAAGAATTGGCGAAAATGTAATTTAGGTTATTATATGCAAGGTCAAGGTCACTAAAGGTGATAAAATATAGCGATTTTGTTTAGAGCATATCTCCTACACATATAGACGGATTCTAATGAAACTTCATAGAAATGAAATGTTAACCACTATGAGAAGCAGTGTCGTACGCATGAACCAGGTCTCTAGGTCAAAGATAAAGGTCACGCTTAGAGGTTTTTTAAAAATGCTTGTCCGGAGCAAAATTTCTACATATATATTGGGATTTCAATATAACCTGGCACAAATGTTCACTATTGTGTGGCGAAGTGTCGCATGTAAAATTTAGAACCTTGCTGCCAAGGTCAAGCTCACACATAGAAGTCAAAGTTCAGATGTGTATTCGGACCATTTAGTCATCATTGATTGAGGGATTGAAACACGAATGATCATTGTCATGATTACGGGTATGATACATGTAATAAGGTTAATATATGCAAGTTCAAGGTCACTAAAGATGATAAAATATAGGGATTTTGTACAGAGCATATCT